AATCTGCAGCCTGAGGACACAGCTGTGTATTACTGTGTACGTCAGCCTACAGTGATACAAACCACCAACAGACCTGCACAATAACCAGCAACCATGTGACTAAACCTCCCACTCATGTTGACAATGAGAAATAGAAATAAAGAAAGTCATGGGCAGTTACTTCACTTAAAAATGTAAATCTGGAAATTTTCAAATGTATGTGTTTAACTTCAAAATAAGTTTTTTTTCTTGTATGTTGATGCAAACAATTAATTGCTTTATTTGGTTCAAAGCAATATAAAAAAATAAATAAAATCAAAAACAGAATGAAAACAAGATAAGTACATAAAATGAGTTAAAAAAGACTCCCAAAACCCAATTCAAGCCAATTGTGAATTTATCATTTAACAGCTGAGTTCTTTCCTGTGAAGACGGAAATTAATTTTTTAACTGACTTTGGTGATCCCTTAACTTTGCATGTAGCACCATCATTAAGTCAGTATTTCAACGTCTCTACTATAGTTTGTGACCAAACAAAGATAATGATATTATCAACCTCATCTATACGAGCATGAGCATTTACCTCAAAGCACCGCTGTACCCAAGTACAGCCTCACATGGCTGTTGACCCTTACGTTGTTAATGTTCTCTACATTATATATTACTGCTGGAAAAAACTTGTTTACCTCATGATGAAGATTTATTTTCTGAATGGCAGCAGCTAATAGCTAAATCCTGACCTGTGCCATAATACATTATCCAGTAAGTGACAAATATGGCTGCCCACAGAATCCAGTTTCTACTGGCAATGGACTTTCCATCACTTCATGAGGTGCTGGATATTAATGCCAGAATTACCAGACATGCATAAAGACAGACAAGTGACATCTGTCCAAATCAGTTCTCTCCTCCCTGTGAGGAGGAGTCAATGCAAACCTGATCACTTGTCTGATGTCCGCCACCTCTACTTATGTGACTGCAGAGAGGAGGACAGAGAACAGTGGACACACAGTTTACCATGATGGACTATAGGACAGGACTGCTGCTCTTAACTATCTGCTGGGCAGGTGAAGATTTTCATTAATCTTTGTCTGAAATAATTCCATTAATGCTTCCAACTTAACACATGACATGCATATATTTCTTTTGGTTTGACAGGTGTTGATGGTCAGACTCTGACAGAATCTGAACCAGTGATTAAAAGGCCTGGAGAATCACACAGGTTGACTTGTACAACATCTGGATTCACATTCAGCAGCTACAGCATGCACTGGGTCAGACAGGCTCCTGGAAAAGGACTGGAGTGGATCGCTTATATCAGATATGATAGTGCTGGGATCTACTACTCCCAATCTGTCAAGGGACGGTTTACCATCTCCAGAGACAACAACAGACAGCAGGTGTATCTGCAGATGAACAGTGTGAAGACGGAAGATTCTGCTGTGTATTATTGTGCTAGAGACTCACAGTGACTGGAGCTGGTTGAGCAGCTGTACAAAATCCTACAGTACTCTTTGTTAGTGGGTTGACTTAATCGTTAATCTTTACAAGTTGAAAGTATCAAACCTTTTAATGTTTCAGAATGTACACCTTAATAAAGTACAGAATCATGAAAATTAGATTGAAACAAATGAAATAAGTAGTTTATGTAGAAATCAAGGTGTGAATAAAACAAAGATAAAATGCATAACATTTATTTTTTCAATTTAGTTAAGCCAAAAAAAAAAGTTAAGAGCTGTAATGACAAACAATAAAGACAATTCTAGTCTTCTAAACATCAGTTGCAACAATGCATCTTCTACTTTTCCGTGTCCTATTATGTTGGCTCTTTAGTGTATCCCAGCATGCATTGGGTGAGTAACTTTTCTTGAATGCCAAAAGTAGCAACCATCCCTGTTTCAAGCCTCTAGAGGGCAGACAATGACTAGCTTTAACACATATTCCAGTTACCTCTATATGTAGAAAGAAATGACAGAGGAGGAAGGAATTGAGTTTTGCTTCATTGTTATTCCATTGTTGCCATCTTTCCTGCCATGAAATGACCATGAATCCATCAGAAAGCCACGTCCGACCTGGACCGTGTGCACCACTGCTTCACTGATTATTGCTTGTGGTTTAAATATAATCAGTCAGAAAACATAACTTGTGCTTAAATTATTGTTGTGGTCATGTTAACAAAGTTTGCCAATTTAAAACTTAAAAGAATATTTCTAAAGAAAAAAATTAATATGGGCACTTACTGGTCAGTACACATTCATTCTAGTTTCACCAAAAAAAGAGTGAGATCCAATTCCTCCCTGTGAGGAGGAGTCAATGCAAAACTCAGATGTCTTCCAGCTACTTATGTGACTGCAGAGAGGAGGACAGAGAACAGT